ATGAGAATATGTGTTTAGAAGACAGTTAGGTATTCTTGTCCCTCACCCGGCCTGCTTGCCTACCCTCTCTCTGACATTATAACTAAATAGATAAATAAACAAGTGAAATCAATCCAAAACAAAACCACTCTATAATTCTTTAGGTGACACTTCATAAATTTTTCCCACCCAAGTACCCCTAATTGAAGAGAAAATTGAACACATATCACTAGTGATCTGCAGCTCATTTGAATTTCTTTGAAGTCTTCTCATTTTATTTTAAAAATTCACATGGATTCTGCATTCTATTCATACACACACATGGTAATATACATGTATATATACACATGATATATATATACATATATATGAGTAGAATATATGTCTTCTATGAGTAGAATATATACATGTTTTCATGTAATGTACATAAAATGAGTAGTATATATGAGTAGAATATATACATGTTTTAATATAAAAATGATGTGTTTTTTCCAATATCCTTGAATTGCAGAGCTTAAGGAAAATAGGGTAAGTTTATGCCACAGCTTCACTTTACAAGGAATAAATGCAATCACAAAATAAATTTTTCCATGGATCTCACGTATTTCCTTCCTTCAGTTTTCCTTTCACTTCAAAGTAATTTTTTGTCAGTTAATTTGAGGTCTATGCCTTTAGTACTGAACTAAAATAAATGTGTTATCTGCTATACCAAACAGGAAAGATCCTTACTCTATCAAAATAATAACTTGGATTTGAATAATCCAAAAACATATGCAAAAAGAATTAGTGGTCATGCATTTATTCTTTACATATGATTACATAATTCAATGAACAACTAAATTAGTTTCATCTCATCTATACCCCTTCAGCTTAGAATACAAGTCACTGTTTTTTGTTTTTTTTTGTAAAGGTGATCATATCACAAGGAGACAGTTGGTCATCAAATAAAATGAATTATATGGTGTTGATCTCTTTTTATTTTTGCTGGTAGACTGTGAAAAAATATATAGATACAGATATATACACACACACAAGGAGCACTGAAGGTGACAGAATGAGATTTAAACAGGACTGAAATATACATTAAGCAAACAAGATAAGAGACTCAAATACCAAGGACAAGTATTTAACTATAAATAAAAGGTCACTGGCTTGACATTTCACTATGTATTTTTTTTCCTGCAGACTAAATTCAAAAGTATTTTCTAATAGGCTTTAGAATTAAAGTATTAGGAAAAAGTAAAAAGAAATAGATTCTGAACTAACTTGACAGGACAGATGAGATTTGCAGGCATGGGGTGCAGCATGAAATCATACACAGAAAAAGAAGTAAAAATGGCAGTAGAGAAAATATGTCTGGGCACACTGAAATGAAAACTAGGAGGAAATGAAAGAAGAATGCAACCAGGCAGAATGTACTTCAGAACTTTTTGTGTTGAGAACTCTGAGTCAGAATTTCAAAGGGAAAGAAAAGAACTAGTAAAAATAATGTGAGAATGGGGATTGTTGTGGCCCCAACCGGTGATTTAGGAAGAGGATTTCTGGCAACTGTCTTTTGAATACACTGGCAGGGAAAATACACAAAGGCAGAAATAATCAAAAAACAGATTTTGTTCTTCTAATAGATAGGGAGAAAGAAGATGGCTGAGATACATACTTATCTGAGACTAGAGGAACTATAGGTAGACTTATGATCATTATGATTCCCTTTGAACAAGGCAACAGCACTGGCTATAATATTCATAGTAGCATATCAATTACTACTACTATTACTACTAATAATAATAATGGTATAGCAATCAACTGAATATTTACTATGTGCCAACCTTTTAACTGCTTACTTTGAACATGTTAATTCATTTTATCTTATTGTTATTATCATTTCCATTTTACAAATGAGGAAACAACCTTGAAAGTTCTAATGAGTAGTTCACGTTTATAGAACAGAAGCTGGGAACAGAACTTTATAAAATCTAACTCAAAATGATCTGATCTATAGGCTACCTTAGTAACTAAAAGTATTATGATATGATATAGACATTGACATAGATATAGATATTTAGGCATTTATAGGTATAGATAAACAGGTATTTTAGGTATAGATAAACAGGTATTTAGACTTAAAAACAAAAACGGATATAAACTTCATTCCATACTTCATTACAGTTGTTTCAAATTGTTTTGGCCAAAACTATGCTTATTAGGTATATTCATGTAAAGTGTCCTTAATCTAAGAATTAAAAATCACCATTGTAAAATTTACATATCATTCTATGTAAACATATCCTTGATATGCTTTCACTCAAAATATTTCTTAAATTGAATATATGTATTTAAGAAATAAATTTAGGCCCTAGCTGGCATAGCTCAGTGGATTGAGTGTGGGCTGCGAACCAAAGTGTCACAGGTTTGATTCCCAGTCAGGGTACATGCCTGGGTTGCAGGCCATGACCCCCAGCAACCGCACATTGATGTTTCTCTCTCTCCATCTCCCACCCTTCCCTCTCTAAAGATAAATAAATAAAATCTTTAAAAAAGAAAGAAAGAAAAAAATTTAGAAAAAATTCTAGTACAGGACAGTGAAAAATTAATAATAGCCCTGAAATGATCTAATTTCAGAATTGGCCTTATTTGTGACATTTCTTATGTTTCAAATTATAATACCCATTCTATAAATATTGTTATTATTCCATATTAGTTATATATTAGTATATGTACCTGTAGGCATGCAGATGTGTTTCTAAATTCAAGGACCACTGCTGGTGGAAATGTAAACTGGTACAGAAACTATGGAAAACAGTACCATACTTCCTCAAAAAATTAAGAATATATTTTGTTGTTTAGATTCACACTGAAATAGAGGACAGGCTGACAGTGACCAGAAGGGAGAGAAGAGGGAATTTGAGGGGAGAATGGGAAGGGTTTACAGGAACAAATATAAAGGACACATGAACAAAAACTAGGGGGGTGGAAATGGGAGGCAGGTGGGGAGGGATGGGTGGGTGGGCTGGAATGGGAATAAAAGGCAGAAAACTGTACTTGAACAATGACTAAAATAAAATAAAAAAGAAAATTAAGAAAAATAAAAAAATTAAGAATATAGTTACCATATGACCCAGCTACCTTTCTTTTCGGTACCTACCCAATAAACTTGAAAACATTTATTTGCAGTTATATGTACCTCTACGTTCATTGCATTATTCATGGTGGGCAAGACAAGGAGATGATCAAAGTGTCCCTCAATAGAGAACTGGATAAAGAAGATGTGGTACATATATACTACTGGAATACTACTCAGTCATAAGGAAAGATGAAATACTGCCACTTGTGACAACATGGATAGACCTTGAGAATATCATGCTAAGTGAAATAACTCAGTCAAAAAAAGCTAAGAACCATATGATTTCACTCATATGTGGGATATAAAACTGAAAGTAACAAATGAACCAATACGAAAAACAAACAAAAATTCATAGGCACAGACAACAGTATGGTGGTTACTAGATGGAAGGGGCTAAAGGGATAGTAAAAGGTAAAGTGGGTCAAATATATGGTGGTGGAAGATGATTTGAACTTGGGTAGTGGGCACACAAAACAATATACACATGATGTATCATAGAAATGTATACTTGAAACCTATATAATCAAATTAAACAATGTTACCCCAATAAATTTAATGTAAAAAAATGAAAAGCAATTGCCAGAAAATTGCTACTATAGGTGTAGGGAGTACAATTTTCCATCACATTATAAAGTTTTTTTTTAATAAAAAAGAAAGCAAATAAATAGTGCTTTGGAGATATAGTTTGTCTTGTAGTGCTATTGTGGTCCTTGAATCACAAAAGCAACATACTAGATTAAAGAAATATGCTGAGGATTTGACTGACAATACCCGACCAGCAGAGACAACCACTAAACAAAAATATTTTGAGGTTTATAGACACACATTTTTCCCCTTCAAAGGATACTAACTGGTTTATCTAGATTGTAATAAACTTGGGAAATGTATATGCTTTTGAGTCCTTACTGAAAGTCCTCAGAGTTATAGAGAAATGTATTTACTAAAGTGCAATTTCAAATATATGATTTATGGCACACTTTTTGTATCTAAGAGGGAAAATGTACTTCTCCACATATATAATGCCATCTTCAAAAAAAGGTTTCCTTAATCCTCACTTTTCAACTTCTTACTAGAGTAGACAATACTCACTAACAAACAAAGCTAATTAGCTCAAATTACACTTTTAAAGACATTTTTGCCCCCCTCTCCTGTTCCTCCGTGGTTCCAAGTCCTGCCCATTCTAGTCCAATGATGCCCCTGCTTCCTACCACACAGGCTGCTTAGAATAACAATGAGATCTGTGAGATGCCACCTTACTGCTCCAACCTTATAGTCAACAACTTTTCCATTTGACCTAACACATTCTGCCACTGGCCTTGCTCATATTATTTGCTCTCTGGAAAGCATGTCCTTCTCATGCCAGTAAAAATACTCTTCTCAAGCTTCATCCTTTTGGCCTCTTCCAGAAACCTTCCCTTATCTACACATTCTAAAGTACTTTCTTTTTTATCTAAACTGCAGTACATTATATTTTGTGTAGCATTTTTCATAGTCATCCTTGTTTTCTAAAATATCTCTATGTATATCTTTTCTTGACTCCTAGGTTTTAAACATCCTCAAGCAAGAAATGTCTCACAATCATTTTAACATCACCAAAAGCCCCACAGTATGGTTCCTTTGCAATCAACATACACTCTAGTGTCTATGGAATGTAAGAAAGAACAGACTATACCACCAGACTAATGAAAGCTTCAATAACCTAGCAGCGTTAAAAATAAAGTAAGTCTAAAGCAGGACATTAAAACACACTATGCTGTCAAACGTAGGCTAATAGAAACTGTCTTCCTGTTTTTATATAAAAACAGGAAAAATGAAATTAATTTTAATGAATTATTTAATTGTACCACTTAAAAATATATTTAAGCAATGAATAGTCTCAACAGAGTTGCAAATCAATTACCTTTGCTTGCACTTTCTATATGTTCCAGTTCTTCAGGAAATTTCAGGATATCCCGGTGTTTTTCCTCACAAATTTCAGCAATGAAATGCAAGAGGGTTGTTTTTTGATCTGCTGATTTTGTATCTCTGATCTGGAATGAGATACAAAAATTTTAGTATTTTTAGTAACATAAATATAGATTTTTTTTTTCTGAAATGGAATGAATAAACTCAATTTATCACTAGTAATTTTTTAAAGTTCAGAGTAGGTTCCAGTGGGGTCTAGTAACAATGCTGTAGATTTAAAAATGAGTTCCATATTTTAAAAATGAATTCCATATTTTGGATGACCAAAATAAGTGGAAAGTTAAACTTGAATCTATATTTTTAGAAATGTTTAAATTATTATGGCAAAATAAATTATTTTTTACAGTATTTACTTTTTACTTCCATTTCTTGTTTTTTTTTTAATTTTAATCATTGTTCAAGAATAGTTTTCTGTCCTCTACTCCCATCTCAGCCCACCCACCCATCCCACCCCACCTCCCTCCAGTTTCCACCCCCCTAGTTTTTGTCCACATTTCAAACAAACAACCTAACTCTACATCTACAAGAACTGGAGGAACAACAACAAAGACAGCCCAGAGCAAGTAGAAGGAAGGTAATAACCAAGAGCAGAACACAATTAAATAACATAGAAACTAAAAAGCGCAATTCTAAGGATCAATGAATCCAGGAGCTGGTTCTTTGAAAAGATAAACAAAATCAACAAGCCTTTAAGCAGGCTCATCAAGAAAAAAAGAGAGAAGACCCAAATAAGTACAAAATAAATGATTCTTATCACAAGAAAATAACTTTCATTTATATATTGATAAAAGCAGTCCAAATTAACCTATACTTCTGTTATCAGCATTCTACTTTATCCTTTATCACATAAATATATTCTTGAAAGCCAGATTCATTTGTGAGGTTATACTTATTTCTAGCTATCATTTATGCAAATTAATGTAAAAGAGTAAACATGTTTTACCCTCCTTTGCTTGCATTAGCCATCAAAAAGGAGTAACTGACACCTTCTTATGTGGTTTTATAAATGCAATATGAGCACACAATCATGATGATGTGTAAAGTTTATTTGCCTGCTTACACACTATTTCCTTTGCAGACATGGTAGAAAAGGGATGCTTTGGTTAGAAGGGTAAAAATCTTTGAAGTGTAGGACACAAATATGTCTATGATGTGAATCTAAGTATTTTCCTTAATATAGCTCTCATACTAAACAAAGCTGCAAATGAAATAAAAAATTTACTGAAAAACAAAGGATAAATATGGCATAAAGTATTAAGTTTTCTCATTCTATTCAATATTTTAATTCTATAATCCTAAAATGATGGGTTTGTCTACTGATGTTCATACTGATTGGGGATTTTTAGCTTTAAGGATTACTCTGTTTCGAATAAATGAGTATTCTTCACAAACAGGTTTCTGACAAGGCTGTGGAGGATATTTAGGTAATTACAGAGTAATTTAATTTTACTATTTTTGTGACTCAGACAAAAAAAAATACAGTCAGTCAATCAGGCCCATACTGAATCTGTTTTGTGCTACAGCTTTTTAACAATTGTTTACAGACCAATGACATGAACAACTTAAAAGAAACATTAGTCACCAGGCTCAAGAAACAGCCACAGGAGGCATGATATTGAAAGTTTAAGTGGTCACAATTATTTCTTTTAGAATTTCTGGCATTACCTTTTCCCACATAAGTAAAATATTTAAAACTCAGCATTATCATACTGATCCAGTAAGCACTTTAAAATACTACAAGGTTGAAATGACACAACTCAAGGACATACTGTAAGAACAAAAAACAACAAAAACTTCCAAGGCAATTTGTCTTAAGTAAGGCTTGTAGTTGCAGAGGAATCAATGGGAGGCTCACTTTCCTAAAGAGAAATCTTTACCTGTGATTATGGGTATATGGTGTTATGTGTTCACAAAGTCGTTTTCAGAGTATGCTGGATATTCAAAAAAAACAAGAAAACTGACACTGACTTTTTAATACAAATTATCTGAACTCCTAAATGCTGAAATCTAAAAAAAAAAATCAGATGATTAGGGAAAACAAAAGTTACATCTTCTGAAGGGAAAGGAAATCAATCTATATGTTATGAACTTTCTGATGACAAATATACACACAACAAAAAACAAAAATCCACCTAATTTTTTAGGACATAAAACTGTACAAATATAATTTTCTAAATTCACACGACAGAACACTGGAAAATAAAACACAAAAATGAAAAAATAGCATGGTGTTTATATGTCAATTTTATAGGTGATCTAAAACTTCAGCTGTTGACATACATACTTATAAGTGCTTAGTTTTCAATACTTTTTAAGTGATAACCATTCATTCATAATATGTCTGTTAATCTAATTTCTGTTAAGAAATTAGAAATTAGATGCTAATCTAATTGATGCTACTAAGTTTTAGTAGCATCAATGGCTACATTTTAAGAAGATAAATATAGCACAACATTTCAGTTAAATAAATATCTTGGTATCTTTGTCAAAATTAGAAAGAGTTGTAGAAAGAGTAATCATGTATTTTTTTAGAAATGCAATATCCCCTTCAAAGCATGGGCAAATGTGGCCAAGTGCCTGTCTTATCAAGCTAAGAAATACCTTATTTCATACAGGAGACAAACTGATAAATCTGTATTGCAATATTTTTTTAAATAACTCCATACAGAGTCCATTTTAGGGTTTCAAACTGGAAGAGAATAATCATGACAAATATGTAGTCTTGTTTGTTTTTCTCTATGTATATGACCCTTAGAACAATCATTTTAAAATAAAATTTTAATATTAAAATAGAAGGGGGAATAATTATTGCTTATGAGAATATATGTACTTTGTATTATCACATGTTCAGTCTCTCTTACTACATATACACCACTCACACATTAGTCATCGTCTCTCTCAGGACCTATGGTGTTGCTCAATGTCAACACAAAAGGCAAGAAAGAACATTCACCTTCAGCAATTCTAATGGCTAATGGCATTTATTTAATAATTTGCTATTCCAACTGTACTAGCTAGCTATATACATCTCTTGTGGTAGTATAAAAGTAACTTAATCTGAGTTTGTGTCAAATTACTTCTAGAGTATTTTGGGTTAGTTTATTAAGAAATACAATTGTTTTCCATTTGATATCTGGTTAACTAGAAATAATGTTAATTTTACACTAACATCAAATATTGCAATAATAGTTTCCCAGACTGCTTAAGTCTCAATGGTGACTATACACATTTGAAGGTTTGCTGCAGCGAGGGGCCAAGTGCCTGTTTGCGTCCATGCCTCTGCTTCCCTCTCTCCCTCTCACTAATCACTGCCTTTAGAAGATGCAAAAGAATGAAGAAACTGGTCAACCTACAGTTCGCTGTTTTGTATATATTTCTATACAATGAAAACACAAACAGCAGTTTCAGAAATTGGAAATCTTGGAAAAAAATTCAAAACATTTTATATTTTAACAAGCTGAGCTATCAACAAATGATAACAATAAAACTGAGAAATAATTCACTACAATCACTGATAAAGTGCCATCAGTTAATAAACCATGTAGCAATTTTAATTATACTCAACTGACCAATGAATGTTAACCATAAAGATTAATAATTGAATTTATACTAGTTATATCTACCTAATCTCTAATAACTTCCTGATATGGTACACGAATACAAAATAACTTTAACAGAACAAGATTTTTTTCTACAGCAAATTCTGATAATTTTTCTTCTAGTAAATATGAGTGCTATATTATATTATGGAAGATAATGTTTAGAATTGACATATTCAAATACATTTCAAAAACTTTCATTAGGCTGACAGCAAAAATATCTGAACTAACTGCCATGTAAAAGTTTTTTTTTTCATTTCAAATATTCTCATTCAGGCTTGAAAATGTGCAGACTTTAGCCTGTCTTTGAAATCAAGCAGTTTGAGCATAGAGAAGCCAGCATAGCACCAGAGAGAGAGCCTGAGAAAACAACATTTTAATCATCTACTTCAGTCACACTCAGTCCTTCTGTGAAGGACCACTTCTGTAGTTAATTTTCCCTTCTGCCTATATGTAAGCTTATTTCTTCTTCCTCTGTCCTCAGTGGGAACCAAAAATAACTGGTCACTATCTTGTGTATAACCCCCTCTCACAGAGTAAATTTCCCTTCTCATGTGTCCTGTTCTCTAAACCAGTGATTTTCAACCTTTTTCATCTCAGGGCACACAAACTAATTACTAAAATTCTGTACCCCATACACACACACACACACACTATATGTATGCCTGCATACATACATATAGTACATTTATATATAATATGTAATACATATTTTGGGGGGTGATCAGACCAAAAAGCAGGTATAATTTTGATTCATTCACATTGGATGAATATTCTTGTGTTGACTGTTGTCATTTTTTAATTTGACAATCTAAGGGAAAAGAGATCAGTGCCTTGACTAAACAATCAGGTATTGAAAATTGCTGCTGTAAATCCAACAATTTGGATTACAATTACTGAATTTAACCTCCCCACAATGATGTTAGTTATCAAATGTTTAATTTTTTCAGGATGAAATCAAACATTTAGTTTTTCTAATTAACTAATTTTAATTATAAATTAATTTTATAATGAAAAATTAATTATAATTTATATATTATGGAATATATATGAATGGAGTATTTTATATTATATATCCATATATTTAAGAATGGATTATAGAATATATATGTGACAGGAATTATTAGAATCCATTTAGAATTTCCATTGCAAAGGCTCCTATCATCTGCTCAAATAGTATATAAGGTTCTTGGCTTAAAAGGCCCTTTGTGAGCTGGCCTTTGCCTACCTTTCTAATCTGTCCCTGGTATATAGCCTTCTCTTTAGCCTGACAATAGAAAAGAAAAATATACAAGGGACCAACAGTGAAGGGAAGGAAACCAACACTCAAATAAACAATTTAGAAAAAATGGAAGTAATAAACATTCAATCAGAACAGAATGAAGAAACAAGAATGCAAAAAAAACATTTTTTAAGAGAGGCTTAGGAACCTGTGGGACACCTTTTAACGTTCCAACATATGAATC